GGGGGGCCTGGGGGGGGGGGGGGGGCTGGCCCGCCTCTGAGTCACTGCTGTCTCCGCTTCCTTGCGCAGAGCTGTCTCCCTCCCGTGGGCTCTGGAGGGAGGCCTTTGGCCTGGAGGTTTCTGTGGATGACTCCGCCTGGGGCAGTGCGCGGTCTTTAGCTCCTGGTTTGTTATTTAAAGAAAATACCACATTGTTCTTGGTCCCAGCTCTGAGGTGCTCCGCGTCTCTGCCTGCTGATGGTTGGTACCAGTGAGTTGCTAGCTGGCCTGGGAATTCAAGGCCTCTATGCCTTGGGTTGCATGGGCTGGGATTCGTACTATGGTCCTGGCCTGTTTCCCTGATCCACCTCACACAGGCACCTCCAGAATAATCCACCTAGTCGCTGGGATGAACCCTGCAGGCAGTTGCTGTCCAGCGGCGTGGTCATGGGTGCGTGACTTCTGGCCAAAGCCTCCTTTGTTCAGGCCAATAGTGTCATCTACGAGGTGTGATTGAAAAGTACAGTGAAGGACACATTGCTGTGAGTCCCCCTTGAAATATCCCCCCTACTTGGAACACGCCGAGCCCGTGGCTCTTGCCACTTTCTACAGCAGTTCTGGAAGTCGAAGTCTTCTTCTGGGTCTCCAGTTGCACTGTTGTGGCTGCCTGGATGTCCTAGGTCTCTTCAAACCTTTCCTTTCCACGGTCACTTTGTGTTGGGGGAGGAACCGGAAGCTGCCGTCGTGTTTTCGTGAGTCTGCCATTCCCTTGGGTGGTGCTTGGCAGCGGCATTCACCGCATTTCTGATCATGCCTCATAAAGACACTCAGGGAAGAGGACTTTCGGGATGCTTCAGAAAGTGGCAAAGATGATGGGATGAGTGTGCTCAAAGTGAGAGAGAAAATCTGAGAGCGATTCACGGCAATGTGTCTCTTACTGTGATACTAAAACCCCCCCAAAAAACCAATCTGCAGCATTCACCCTATATTTTGATCAAACCCCATACCCTTTGGAGGCTGGTATTTCCCTCTCAGGTGGGGGTGCTTGACAGGCACCTCCCGTGTTGGGATCGAATATACCTTACCAGCAGCATAAACACGATTTTATTTTTTTTTTCTCATTGAGTTTATTGGTACATTTTAGGTATACAGTACAGTTGCATTCATCATTGGGATCTTGAACCTTTACCTGACAGGTCTTGGTTCTCATTTTTTCCCTTTGTCCCTGCCCTACCTTCACCCCCCCTTCCCCACTTACAAACACTTTATTTCCATTTTTTCATTTTCTCCTATTTTTTTCTTTTCCCTTATTACCTTTCCCCTACCCTTCCCACTTTCCCTACACCTTTAGCACTTTTCTTCCTATTTCACAATGTCATTTATCTCATTAGGATCTTATGTAGTATTATAATTTATTCACACCAGAGAAACTGTTTGGTATTCACACGTGTGACTTATTTATTTCACTTAGGAGTATATCCTCAATATGTATCCATTTTCTTATGAATGACTAATTTCTCATTCTTTATGGCTGAGTAGTATTCCATTTTATAGAAAAACCACATCTTTATCTAGTCTCCAACTGATTAAACACAATTTTAAAATCTTGGTTTGCATTTAAAAGTTGTGATTAGAAAAGTTGCATAGTTTTTTTGTTTTTGTTTTTGTTTTTTTGTATCTGGGATTGGATTTGCACTTATGAGGCAGGGGACAGCACCACTGAGCTAAATCCCCAGCCCAGTTTTTTGTTTTAGTATGTTAAAAATAATGCAGATATGAAAAGTTTGTTGTTTGGGGCAGAAAGAAATTCAGGGCAGAAGGCTGGGTTTGTAGCTCAGTGGTGCCACCGTCTGCCTCATAAGCACAAGGACCTGAGTTCCATCCCCGGTATCAAAAAAAAAAAAAAAAAGAAGAAAGAAAGAAAGAAATTGAGGGTACTTGTAACAGAGGAGACGGAAATCTGCCTTCCCTGGTATGAGACAGTGATAAAATCTGCTCACATCTTCTTCCAGATCAATCATGACCCATGCGTCAGTGCCCAAGAATGACAGAGAAACGCTTGGCATCAGTGACACGCTGGTTCGGCTGTCTGTGGGATTGGAGGATGAAAGAGACCTTCTGGAAGATCTGGATCAAGCTTTGAAGGCGGCGGTGAGTTCTTTTTCTCTCCCTCTGTCTCAGATCTTGAGGGTGGAAGATCACTCTATTTACTATGAAGCCTAAGGGTTCTCCCCTCCTATAGACAGCAGCGGGATAAATGGGCAGGAAATTCAGGTCAAAGTGCAGATTGAAAGACTAATAGTATTTGGAATGGACTTGAAGAGGCGGTGAGGTCTTGGCCTGCAGACGCAGTAACGCGTTTCTCTACAGCACCCTGAGAGTGGAAGCCCCAAGTAGGATTCCAGACCTGCTGTCAGAAGCATCTTCCCGAGGAGGTCGGGTCCCTGAGCGGGGCTCTGTGGGGTTTTCAAGAGGAAGTTGAAGGGACCTCGTTACCTTTCGCAGCTGTAACCTGGTAGGGCTCTTTCCTGTTAAAAATGGTTTCCTGTATGTCCTGGGAGGTCAGTTCTGCTAATATTTCTTTGTTAATTTTGCTATATGTTAGCTTCTGGAGGAGGTAAGATTTGTGCCGCTTTGTGGGGAACAAACAGTTCTTTTATTCATAACCTAAGACTTGCTTCAGTCATGTTTACGGTATAAGGGTGATTCAGTTTTGATGCTTTGTAAAGAAGTCAAATTCTTAAATGATATTTCTTAAATCAGGTCTGATTTTTACACATTGTCGAACAAAGTATTGTAAGCAATGCTTTACATTTGATTACCGTATGTCAAAAAAATCAAATACTTGAGAAGTCTGTTGTGAATTTCTACTGATTTAAAGTTACTGCCTATTATTTTTCAAACAATAAATGTAATTATCAAATTCATCCTAATATTCCTATATTGTGTGACATGAACTCACATTTCTAGACCTTCGAATTCCCAGAAGTTGCTTGTAGAGCTCTCAGTCTCCAATATTAATTCTTTTTCGTTTTTTTTTTTTTGAGACAGGGTCTCACTATGTAGTTGAGACTGACCTGGAATTCACTATGTAACCCAGGCTGGTCTCGAACTCACAGCGATCTTCCTGCCTCTGCCTCCCGAGTGCTAGGATTACAGGTGTGCGCCACCATGCCCGACTTCCAACATTAATTTTTGTAAACTTGCTTGGGTAACTATCATTCTCAAAATTTAGTGCTGCAGAGTAGTTACAAATTCTATATGTGGTAAGTAAACTTGGGCCAGCCAAGGGGCTGGAGGGCTTTCCCGTGGGAGAAGGTGGTACTTCTGGTGTGCTCAGGACAGGCGGGCTGGCAGCCTGCACTGGGCCGGAGGAGCACTTCCTTTGCCCTGCTTTTCAGTGTCCCTGTGTATTTCCTTTTAGTTTTCCAGTGCATTCTTTTACAAAGTGGAGACAATGATCCATAATTTTCAAATGTTGAGCCAAAGACTCCCTGCTCTGATATATGAGAGGAAATTCAATCTGGAATTTTTAAAAAAATAAAAATTAAGACATCTTTTTAGCAACAAAAAGTCTTACATGACCCAATTCCTCTGAAGAGTCAGGAAGCAGCGTGGAACTACAAATTGATTTTGCGTAGAAATGAAATCTTGGTAGTACTTTTGTAAAGTGAAAGTAATATCACTTAATTACTCAGGTGGATCTGAAGGACTGTTCAGAGGAATAAAAAAGATAAAGCTTGCAACAGACTTTAGAGAAACTTAAAAGGAACAGAACTGCTTCCTCACAAATCTCTTAGGCCAATGTTGAGAGAAATAACAATGTGATAAACAGAATGAATACGATGTCATCAAGGAAGAAGAAAAGTGTTATCATTAAAATCAGGAAAGTTACAAATTAGCCAACCACAAGGGATTATAAAAAGAGAATTTCCGTTTCCATAAGGAGAGACACCCTAATTCCATTTGCTTCCTCATAGAACTACAAACTTAGAAATAAGTATGAAAAATAAACTTCTCTTAAGGAAGCTATTAAAGATTATATGAAGGATTGATTCCTTTCTTTTTTCAGTAAACACATTTGATCCGATACTGACTTACTGCTCAGAAAATAAATTTAAATTTGTTCCATTGAGAACCACCAGACACTGCGGACATCTGTATTTTGAATAAGGTGACTCAAGCACCAGGGGCTAGAGACTTCTTATTTCATTGCTATTTTTATACTGATTTATATTTTAGTTTCTTCAACTAGAGAAAGAAAAACTCAGACTTGATATTTCCCTTCATTTATTAACTCAGTTGTTTTATCGCTGTCTTAGTTTTCTCATTGCCGAGATAAAATACCTAACACCCAAAGTTACAGGAGGAAAGGTTTATTTAGTTCATGGTTTGCAAAGGTTTCGGTTCATAGCAGGCTCCAAGGCAGGCTGGCACATGACAGAGGAGAAACAGTTCATGGTGGGCAGAAGGCAGCAAAGCAAAAAGGGTAGACTTCAGCTTTCTGAACCTTTTATCTTATCCAGGCTGCTTAGGGTGGGCAGTGCTCACACCCTTAATCCTGGTGCCATGATCCCAGCACTGCTCCAGGAATCGATCCCAGCATCACACACTCTGGATCCACCTCTGAAAAGCCCCACAGGACCGCGTGAGGCTTTGCGGGGGCCCAGACACAGCCACAGCACCTGTCTACCTGTTGAATTAGAACAGAGAAGGACAAGAAGGTGAAGAGCTACTGTGTGACCGTTCTGTATCCCTTGGCCAGGAACGTGTGTGACAGAGCAGGCCACCCAGGAAAACACGTGGCTTAGAACTCGGGTCCTGATCTTTCCTGGCTTTGCTCCCGTGCTACAGTCTTAGTTCAACCCTGAAGAAGCCTCAAATGGATTAGCAACCTGGTGTCTTGAGACTGTAAGAGCTGTTACAGGCTCAAGGCCGCCTGGTGAAAACCCTGAGTTCACAACCAGGAAAGGGATATGGGTGGCAATCCTGTAGTATGGGATGGGTGATGTTTTATGAAAGCTTCTTGGATTTAGACTGAAACAGCAGAGTGAAGTTCAGCCCTGGCCCTGTCTCCTGCGGCTTCTGCTGCTCTGCGGAGCTGGGGCCGAGGTCCTGCCCTTCTTAGCTGCTGCCATTCAGTAGTGAGTTCTGCAGGGGAGTGGGCCTGGGGAGAGGAGGAAGGGTGTCAGTCAGAGAGGGCGACTCTGGAGAAGGGAGGCCCTGCGGGTGGGTGGGTGGGTGGCACACGATGGGGTGCAGCCGGGTCCACAGCCTCCACACCAGCCCGGCCTGCGTCCTGGCTGCACGGCTGGGGCTCCCCACTTGGATAACATTGCCTGCTCCTCCCTGCCGCCCTCCCCTACTGCTACAGTAAGTAGGGTTTTTGTGCTTTTTGCAAAAGTAATTTTTTCTAGGGAATCTAAAGACATCTTGTCCCAGGCTTCCATTATAGAAAAGTAGAAATCAGGTTTTCCGAGTTCGAATCCCAGTTCAGGCACTCAGCAGCCACTGGCCGCTGGTTTGGGCGGCTGTCGGAGCTCCCGCCTCCAGGGGAAGGCGAGTGACGGTGATGTCACTTCATGGAGCGGAGCGGTGCGGAGTCACGTGACACGAAGCAGGCAGTACATTTGGCACTGAATTGTCTTCCTATGACCCGGTGACAGCGGTTGGCAAAATCTGTGCTTGCACTGTCCCATGCTTTCTCAAGACACTTTTTTTTGGGGGTACCGGGGATCGAACTCAGGACCTTGTGCATGCAAAGTAGGCGGCAGCACCATTGAGCTAAATCCCTGGCCCTTTCGCAACACCTTATGCAGACACTGCTTTAGAGACAGCTTCTGTGATTCTTGGAATCAGGGCAAACTCCACTCTTGTTGTATTTAGATTAGAACATTGCTCTTGTTACTAAGTAACAGACTGCTTAATGATGTTGGTTGGAGAAAAATGGTTCTCATGATTAATTTAGCTACTAGCTGCCTTTCCCAACTGGTAGGTAAATTTAAAAAGAATTATTGGAAAAGAGCCGCTGGAGGAGCTGCTCTGCCTGTGTCTTGATGATACAAATAATAAGAGTATGTGTGTGTATTTATTTATTAGTTTATTAATTAACTAACTGAGATGAGGTCTCACTGTGCAATTCAGGCTGGCCTGGAACTCATGATGCAGCCTAGGATGGCTTCAAACTCTCCTCATCGTCCTGCCTCAACTTCCTGAGTGCTGGGATTACAGGTGTGCCCCACCGTGCCCAGCGATGAGTGTTTTATGACTAAATAAGCTTGAAAGTTTGCTCACCACCAAATAACAGTAACGACCATTGTGATATTATGGAGACACTTGAAACTGTTCTTGTTATAGACAATCACAGAAGGCGCTCTGCTGTTAGCAGTCTTCGTGTTGGATGAGTTTTACTGTGGGATATTTCAAAAGCTACACAATGCCAGGTATCCTCGTCTTGTTTGATTTTCGAAATTCAAAAATAGCCTCTGTAAAAGACAGAAAAACAGGAATTGTGAGGAGTGGTTTTGTTAAACAGAGCGGCCTCCCTATGTTTTGAGGTCTGGAGCTGGGTGGGTGGTGCACACCTGTGATCTCAGCACTCTGGAGGGACCTAGGCTCCTGGTCCCTTTACTGCACCTTCAAGCCCAGCCACAATGGGCTGGGTTCCTCTCCTCCTTCCCTGAATTCTCTCCTCTCTCAAGTTACCACTCTCACCCAACTGGGAAAGACTCCTCACTTTTAAAAACTCATGTGGTGGCGCACGCCTCCCAGCACTAGGGAGGCTGAGGCAGGAGGATCGCTGTGAGTTTGAGACCAGCCTGGGCTACATAGTGAGTTCCAGGTCAGTTTCAACTACCTAGTGAGAACTTATCTCAAAAACAACCTCATGTGGTTGGGTTGAGCTGACTGGATAATCCAAGATCTTCCTTCTCAAGATCCCGGACCTGAGCATGTAGACTTCTTTTGCTGGGTAAGGTAACAGACTCCTGGGTTCTGGGGTCGGGGTGGCACCTTTGGTGGAGGGTGTTATTCACCTTCCTTCACCTCTCGATTTTCACAGTTCTTATTTTATGGGAACAAGAGTAAGACAGTGGATGTTTGGAGAAGCATCATCTTGGTTTCCATGGATGGATGCAAGTTGTTTTTTTGGTACCGGGGATTGAACTCAGGTCCTTGTGCCTGTGAGGCAGGTGCCGAACCATTGAGCTAAATCCCCAGCCCGACGGAAACAATTTTTGACAATAGTCCACAAATTAAGTAAGAGTTCTCCGAGTTGAAGGGAGGAACCCTTGATGCTCGAAGGATCCCCTCTTTCTGGGAGTGCTTTGGGAGCCTAGAGATAGCTGGGTTCTGTCAAATGAGGTGGGGGGTCAGAGGTAGACCCTCATATTCTCTTAGAGAGCTTGACAACCTGCTCTCTAGTCTGGCCTCTGTTCTCCAGGCTGCAGAATCAAGCTGATTGTGTTTTAGATTCATCATCCATTGCCAAAGTTGGGCAATGGCTTGTGACACTGATTCTTTCCTACCTCCAGGTCATATCGATAGAGAAGTGCTATACAATAAGCCAGGCCCTTGCCTTGCCTCCATTTTTCTTCTGCAGAATATTTTGCTTTGGAGATGTAAGTTTGTGTTACTGGGCTTCTACCCAAAGTATCAAAATGGTTTGTGACTGTTTGAACTGTGCGACCTTTCAGGAATGCTCTGTTAAGCTGACCCTCACAAGAAGGTTCTGTTAAACTCCACCCCCTCTCAGGAATGTTCTGTAACTCCACCCCCTGACTCATTGAGCATGCTCACATGGCCTGTGTTTCAGGAATGTTCTGTGACTCCACCCCCTTTGCTTCAGTGAGCATGCTCGTCTACCCTGTAGATCCCTATATAAGGAGGCTCTCATTTCTGGTAGGGCACTCAGACTCCTCTGAGCCTG